ATTTTCTAAATCACCAGACTGGGCCACAGCAACTCCTGGCAGGAGATGGCTAGTGTGTGTGTGTGTGTGAATATGAATATTCATAAAGATATTAAACGCCCCCTGGTGGAAGCCTTGGAGTGTGCAATCAAATCCAAAGCATTGCCATGATTTTGGATTGAACATCCAAAACAGAAGTGTCATTATTTTCCTTTCCTTTATGAGTGTATCTACTATAGTGTTGAATGAATGCAGTCTCACCCCACTTTGACTGCCATAGATCAATGCTATGGAATCCTGGGAGTTGTAGTTTTACTAAGAGACGAATGAAGGCTGTTTGATCCCAATTTGATTGTCATTCGTCAATGCTGTGGAATCCTAAGAGTTGTAGTTTTACTAAAGGTCTAATGAATGCCATTTGATCCCTCTTTAAATGCTGTAGATCAAGGGTATGGAATCCTGGGAGTTGTAGTTTTACTAAGAGTCAAATTAATGCCGTTTGACCCTACTTTGATTGTCATAGATTGAGGCTATGGAATACTGAGAGTTGTAGTTTTACAAAGGGTCTAATGAATGTCGTTTGACCCCTCTTTAAATATTGTAGATCAAGGCAATGGAATCCTGTGAGTTGTAGTTTTACTAAGAGCCAAATGAATGCTGTTTGACCCTGCTTTAACTGCCGTAGATCAATGCTATGGATTACTGAGAGTTGTAGTTTTACTAAGAGGCAGGTATAGATCAATGCTATGGAATCCTGAGAGTTGTAGTTTTACTAAGAGATGAATGAATGCCTTTTGAGCCCTCTTTAAATACTGTAGATCAAGGCAATGGAATCCTGTGAGTTGTAGTTTTCCTAAGAGCCAAATGAATGCTGTTTGACCCTACTTTAACTGCCGTAGATCAATGCTATGGATTACTGAGAGTTGTAGTTTTACTAAAGGTCTAATGAATGCCGTTTGACCCCTCTTTAAATGCTGTAGATCAAGGCAATGGAATTGTGGGAGTTGTAGTTTTACTAAGAGATTAATGTCCCTTGACCCCTCTTTGAATGCTGCAGATCACTGCTATGGAATACTGGGAGTTGTAGTTTTACTAAGAGTCAAATTAATGCTGTTTGACCCTACTTTGATTGTCATAGGGCAATGCTATGGAATCCTGGGAGTTGTAGTTTTACTAAGAGACAAATGAATGCCGTTTGACCCCTCTTTAAATGCTGTAGATCAAGGCAATGGAATCCTGTGAGTTGTAGTTTTACTAAGAGATGAATGAATGCCGTTTGACCCCACTTTGATTGCCATAGATTAATGCTATGGAATCCTGAGACTTGTAGTTTTACTAAAGGTCTAATGAATGCCGTTTGACCCCTCTTTAAATGATGTAGATCAAGGCAATGGAATCCTGTGAGTTGTAGTTTTACTAAGAGATGAATGTCCCTTGACCCCACTTTAAATGCTGTAGATCACTGCTATGGAATCCTGGGAGTTGTAGTTTTACTAAGAGACGAATGAATGGTCTGTATTAATTCTTATTCCAGGGTCCTGATGGTTTGGGATGAGAGTGAAGCCTGCAACATCTCCCACAAGGTGCCCAGCAGGGTCATCCTCACTTGCCATATTCCGAGCTCCGGGAAGAACTTGACCTCTCAGGCCATCGTCCAGCGAATGGAGAGGATTTTGGGTAACCCAGGCGCACCGTGGCCCAGCTGGATGGTGAGGAAAGCGATGGTTGCATCACATTAATGCAGTTTGGGACCACTCGAACTACTGTGCTTCAATGCTATGGAATCCTGGCAGGAGTTGTTTGCACAAGGTCCAAGACCTTGTCAAACTACAACTCCCATGACTCCATAGCCTTGAGCCGTGGCAATTCAAGTAGTGCCTACAGAGTTTTTAGAAAGAACACAATAATTTCCTCTTAGATGAAAACAAGCTGTGTGTGTGTGTGTGTGTATACACACACACATATACACACATACACCCACAGTTTGTGTTATACACACACCTACACATATACATACTTACCCTCACATGTGTTATGCCAGGATTACAACGAGCAATGCGTTCTCAAATGGCAGAGTTTGGATAAAACTCTTTTGGATTTCTAATAATAATAATAATTATTATTATTATTTTATCAACATATTTATTATTCTTATCATTATCATTGTTGTCATATTGTTGTTTTATTTAACCATTTATTATTATTACCATATTTATTATTATCATCATCATAGTTGTTGTATTATTATCATTGTTGTTGTAAATAAATGTAATGTTCATTTGTGAGATTAACATAACTCAAAAACTACTGGATGAATTGACACAAAATTTGGACACAAGACACCTCTCAGGCCAATGAGTGACCCTCACTCATAAAAATATTGAAACACATAGCATAAGAGACTTAAAAAGCCAAAAAACAAAAATACATTACAATGCATGTGCATAAGCACACAAATACACATATACACAAATATATACACACGTATTATACACATATATGCAAACACAAAACACATATACACAGACTGGGCCACAGCAACGTGTGGCAGGGGACGGCTAGTGTGTGTGTGTGTGTGTGTGTGTGTGTGTGTGTGTGTGTATATATATATATATATATATATATATGTATATATATATATATATATATATAATTGTATAGGGGCATCCAACGGGACAAAAAACTCAAAAACCCCCCCAACGAAAATTAACCAAAATTCCCATGCACCATACACAACCCACAAGGTACAAACATATCTACTCAAAAAAAAAAACAACACAACAACACACTCACAAAACGGCAAAACAACAAAACTCAAAAACCCCCAACGAAACTTAACCAAAATTCCCATGCCCATAACACAACCCACAAGGTACAAACATATCTACTCAAAATGAAAAACAACACAACAACACACTCACAAAACGGCAAAAGGATAAAACTCTAAAAAAAACCAACGAAACTTAACCAAAATTCCCATGCTCATAACACAACCCACAAGGTACAAACATATTACTCAAAATGAAAAACAACACAACAACACACTCAAAACGGCAAAAAAACAAAACTCAAAAAAACCCCAACGAAACTTAACCAAAATTCCCATGCCCATAACACAACCCACAAGGTACAAACATATCTACTCAAAATGAAAAACAACACAACAACACACTCACAAAACGGCAAAACAACTGAGCATGAGCATTGGCGCCCAGCCGCAAGTTCCCTGGCGCGCGCACATGCCCTTCCGGCCAACGTTCCCTCTGCGGAAACCATGCCCACTCCAAGCCCCGCCGCGCCGCTTCCCGCACACACACACACCCCTGCCGCACATACACACACAACCCCACCCTCCATCACTCCCCCCCCCCCCCACACACACGCAACCCCCCCACTCCCCCCGCCGCCGCACACACACGCAACCCCACTCCCCCCGCCGCGCACGCACACACACCCCACCCCCTCCCCCCCGCCGCCGCACACACACACGCAACCCCACGCTCCACCCTCCCCCGCCGCTGCACGCACACACGCACCCCCACTCCCCCCGCCGCACACACACACACAACCCCACGCTCCATCACTCCCCCCGCCGCCGCACACACACACGCAACCCCACGCTCCATCACTCCCCCGCCCCAATCTTACCTCCTTTTACTTCACGCCCCTGCCGCCGCACACACGCAACCCCACGCTCCATCACTCCCCCCGCCGCCGCACACACACGCAACCCCACGCTCCATCACTCCCCCCAATCTTACCTCCTTTTACTTCACGCCACCTCCAAACCCCACCCCGCCCCTTCCCGCCCTGTCAAAATCTAGGAAAGACAGGAAGGAAGGAAAGAAGGAAGAAAGAGAAAGGGAGGTAAAGAAAAAAGGGGGAAGGAAGGAAAGTTAGAGAAAGAAGGAAGAAGAAAAGGAAAGAAAAGGAAAGATGGAAGGAAAGAAAAGAGAGACAGCAGAAAGAAAGAAAAAGGGGGAAGGAAGGAAAGAGATAGAGAAAGAAGAGGAGAAGGAAAGATGGGAGGGAAAGGAAGGAAGGAAGGAGGGAAAGAAGGAGAGAAAGAGGGAAGATTGGCCACAGCAACACGTGGCGGGTAAAGGTTGTTATTTCTATTATTATTATTATTATTATTATTATTATTATTATTATTGTTCCTATGAGACCCTTTTAGGGGGAATGGGAGAGGTGTCAGGTCCCAGAGGCAATGCATTGCATTATTGTTATTGTTATGATGGTGATGAAATAAAAGGAAATAAAAAGTGAAAGAAGGAAGCAAACAGGGAGGGAAGAAAGGCAAAGGAAGAAAGGGGGAGGGAATGAAGGAAAGAGAGAAGGATGAAACCAAGTAGTGAAAGAAAGAAAGAGGTAGAGAAGGAAGAAAGGAGAGAAATGGGGAGGAAAAGGGGGAAGGAATAGGTAAGTAGTACCTCTCTTTCATAATAGTCCAGGTATCTACCTCAACTTTGATAAGTTTTACTATAGGCCACAGCAACGCGTGGCAGGGCACAGCTAGTATATATATATATATATGTAATGTTTGTTTGTGGGATTAAAATAACTCAAAAACCACTGGATGAATTGACATCAAATTTGGACACAAGACACCTCTCAGGCCAACGAGTGACCATCACTCATACAACTTCCTTAAAACAGAGCAGAAAGGATTTAAAAACCCAAAAAAGCTAAATGACGAAAAGCTAAATGACGATACAGGAAAAAAGGGAAGAAAGGGGAGAAAGAAAAGAAAGAAAGGAAGAGGGAGGGAAAGAAAGAAGGAAAGAGAGAAAGAAGCATGGAAGCAAAGAGCGAAGGAAGGAAAGAGGTAGAGAAGGAAGAAAGGAGAGAAAGTGGGAGGGAAAGAAGAAGGGGGAAGGAAGGAAAGTTAGAGAGGGAAGCAAAGAGTGAAGGAAAGAAAAAAGGGAAAGAGAGAAGGAAAGAGGGAGCGAAGGAAGGGGGGAAGATGTAGAGAAAGATGGAGGGAAGGAAAGAAGGAGAGAAGGAAGGAAAGAGGTAGAGAAGGAGAGAAAGGAGAAGGAAAAGAAAAAGGGGGAAGAAAGAAAAAGGGAAAGAAGGAAGGAGGGAGAGAAGGAGAGAAGGAAAGGAGGAAAGAGAGAAGATGGAAACAAAAAGCAAAGGAAGGAAGGAAAGAGGCAGAGAAGGAAGGAGGGAAAGAAGGAAAGAGAGAAGAAAGGATGGAAGCAGAAAGCAAAGAAAGGAAGGAAAGAGGTCGAGAAGGAAGGAGGGAAAGAAGGAAAGAGAGAAGAAAGGATGGAAGCAAAAAGCAAAGGAAGGAAGGAGAGAAGGAAAGAAGAAAAGGGAAGGAAGGAGCAAAGGAAGGGGGGAAGATGTCAAAAAAGAGGGAGGGAGGGAAGGAAAGAAGGAAAGAGAGAAGGAAGGAAAGAGGTAGAGAATGAGCGAAAGAAGAAGGAAAAGGCAAAGGGGGGAAGAAAGGAAAGAGGTAGAGAAGGAAGGAGGGAAAGAAGGAGAGAAGGAAATAGAGAAGAAAGGATGGAAGCAGAAAGCGAAGGAAGAAAGGAGAGGAATGGGGAGGGAAGGAAGGAAAGAGAGAAGGAAGGCTGGAAGCAAAAGGCAAAGGAAGGAAGGAGAGAAGGAAAGAAGAAAAGGGAAGGAAGGAAGGAGTAAAGGAAGGGGGAAGATGTAGAGAAAGAGGGAGGGAAGGAAAGAAGGAAAGAGAGAAGAAAGGATGGAAGCAGAAAGCGAAGGAAGGAAGGAAGTAGAGAAGGAAGAAAGGAGAGGAAGAGGGAGGGAAGGAAAGAGAGAAGGAAGGATGGAAGCAAAAATCAAAGGAAGAAGAGAAGGAAAGAAGAGAAGGGAAGGAAGGAAAGAGGGAGCAAAGGAAGGAGAGAAAGGAGAGAAAGAGGAAGGGAAGGTTGCCCACAGCAATGCGTGGTGGATACAGCTTGTGTGTGTGTTTGTGCACAGGGATATAATATTAGAATAAGAAGAGGTGGATTATGTCTGGCACTCCTTCGTTCTTTCCTTCTTCCTTCCTTCCAGGTGCCGCAGAGTCTACTAGTGGATAATAATTTGGGGCAAATGTTGGGGGTCCTGCTTCTCACCTTGCCAGGAGTCCCTTTATTGCCAGGAGGAAAGGGTTCCCCAATTCATCTGGAGAGAGACCCCATGGTAAGAATAGGAAACCTTTCCATTCTTGACCTTCAAGAATAATCAGATGCATCTACACACTGTGTAGAGCATGCCTGGTGTAGATACGCACCCCTTTCTTTATGTATCTTGCAGAACGGAAACACCAACGGGCACCCATTGGCGAATGTCTACCGCTCTCTCCTGGCCCTGCGAGCGAATTCCTCCCCTCTTCGTGGAACTGGTTTTGCTCCGCTGACCCTCGCTGACCCCTCCGTGAACGTCTTGTCCTTCATTCGGCCGGGGTCCTGTTCCGGCATCCTGGTGGTCCTCAACCTGGGGTCGTACCCCTTCCAGCTGCGCCTGGAGCAACTGGGCATCCCGGCCCCAGCCAAGATCCTCTTTAACACTGCCTTGGTGTCCCAAACAGAGGTCAACATGGAGGTGGTCAAGGTGGCACCCGGCCAAGCCGTCCTTCTCCGAGTGCCAAGAGGATTGGGACAGTGACCGCTACTGGAAGCAAGGGGAACCCTCATTGGCTGTGCTGTCGCCCAATGGCAGAGTGACTCTTTCCCTATTGGTTGTGTTAGTCTCAATCTTAACCAATGGCAGAGTAATTCCTTTCCTATTGGCCATCACAGATTCAATCTTAGCCAATGGCAGAGCAACTCTTTCCCTATTGGTTGTTGAAGACTCAGTCTTAACCAATGGTAAAGCTACTCCTTTCCTATTGGTTATTGCAAACTCAATCTTAGCCAATGGTAAAGCTACTCCTTTCCTATTGGTTATCGCAGACTCAATCTTAGCCCATGGCAGCGCAACTCCTTCCCTATTGGTTGTCACAGACTCAGTCTTAACCAATAGTAAAGCTACTCTTCCCTATTGGCTGTCACAGATTCAATCTTAGCCAATGGCAGAGCAACCCCTTTCTTATTGGTTGTCACAGACTCAGTCTTAACCAATGGCAAAGCTACTCCTTCCCTATTGGCTGTCGCAGATTCACTCTTAGCCAATGGCAGAGCAACTCCTTCCCTATTGGCTGTCACAGACTCAGTCTTAACCAGTGGCAAAGCTACTCCACCCTATTGGCTGTTGCAGAATCACTCTCAACCAATGGTAAACCTACTCCTTTCCTATTGGCTGTCACAGATTCAATCTTAGCCAATGGCAGAGCGACTCCTTCCCTATTGGTTGTCGCAGACTCAATCTTAACCAATGGCAAAGCTATTCCTTCCCTAATAGTCGTCACAGATTCAATCTTAGCCAATGGCAGAGCGACTCCTTCCCTATTGGTTGTCGCAGACTCAATCTTAACCAATGGCAAAGCTATTCCTTCCCTATTAGTCGTCACAGATTCAATCTTAGCCAATGGCAGAGCAACTCCTTCCCTATTGGTTGTCGCAGACTCAGTCTTAACCAGTGGCAAAGGTACCCCTCTCTATTGGCTGTCACAGATTTAATCTTAGCCAATGGCAGAGCAACTCCTTCCCTATGGGTTGTTGCAGACTCAGTCTTAACCAATGGCAAAGCTACTTCTCCCTATTGGCTGTCACAGATTGAATCTTACCCAATGGCAGAGCAACTCCTTCCCTATTGGTTGTCGCAGACTCAGTCTTAACCAATGGCAAAGGTACCCCTCTCTATTGGCTGTCACAGATTTAATCTTAGCCAATGGCAGAGCAACTCCTTCCCTATGGGTTGTTGCAGACTCAGTCTTAACCAATGGCAAAGCTATTCCTTCCCTATTAGTCGTCACAGATTCAATCTTACCCAATGGCAGAGCAACTCCTTCCCTATGGGTTGTCACAGACTCAGTCTTAACCAATGGCAAAGCTATTCCTTCCCTATTAGTCGTCACAGATTCAATCTTAGCCAATGGCAGAGCAACTCCTTCCCTATGGGTTGTCGCAGACTCAGTCTTAACCAATGGCAAAGCTATTCCTTCCCTATTAGTCGTCACAGATTCAATCTTAGCCAATGGCAGAGCGACTCCTTCCCTATTGGTTGTCGCAGACTCAATCTTAACCAGTGGCAAAGGTACCCCTCTCTATTGGCTGTCACAGATTTAATCTTAGCCAATGGCAGAGCAACTCCTTCCCTATGGGTTGTTGCAGACTCAGTCTTAACCAATGGCAAAGCTACTTCTTCCTATTGGCTGTCACAGATTCAATCTTACCCAATGGCAGAGCAACTCCTTCCCTATTGGTTGTCGCAGACTCAGTCTTAACCAATGGTAAAGCCACTCCTCCCTATTGGCTGTTACAGATTCACTCTTAGCCAATAGCAGAGCAACCCCTTCCCTATTGACTCTTACAGACTCAGTCTTAACCAATGGCAAAGCTACTCCTCCCTATTGGCTGTCACAGATTCACTCTTAGCCAATGGCAGAGCAACTCCTTCCCAATTGGCTATCACAGATTCAATCTTAACTAATGGCAGAATAACTTCCTTTCTATTGTCATCGCAGTTTCAATCTTAACCAATGGCAGAGCAACTTTTTCCCTATTGGTTATTGAACACTCAATCTTAACCAATGGCAAAGCTACTCCTTCCCTATTGGTTGTCACATATTCAATCTTAACCAATGGCAGAGCGACTCCTTCGCTATTGGTTGTCCTAGTGTCAACCTGCATTAATTCTGCAGTGTAAATGCATGAATAGACCCCGGGGGCATCTAGAATGTCAAATTAATGCAGTTTGGCACTGCTTTAACAGCCATGGCTCAATGCTATGGAATCCAGGGAGTTGTAGTTTGGAGAGGTCTTCAGTACTCGTCAAACATAACTGGTCCATATATGATATGTGTGTGTGTGTGTGTGTGTGAGAGAGAGAGAGAGAGAGAGAGAGAGTATAATTTGGAGTGTATTATTGTTTGTACTAACTTGCAGAAATCCTTTAAATGAAGCTGTCAATCATCCAGGACTGAATGCCCATTTGGACATACCGTGAGTACATTTTAAACGCCTTGTTACGCATTTCATATGATTTTGTTTTTAAAGCGATGCGTACTCCAATATGAATTTGGCACCCTCCGGTTATTTCCGCGTCAAAGTCAAGAGGTATATAATTAACATGGTTGCTTGTAACGAGTTTTGTAATAAGATGGGTGTTTAAACCATTGGGACGAAGAATAAAACATTCCTGGGCGAATTGTCTCTGTTTTCCTTGCTGTTGTTTCGTCTGAGGCCGAGAGAGTGTGACCTGCCCAAGGTCATTGTGTTGACTGAGTGTGGAAGAGCCCTTGGGTGCATCTACATTACGAAATTAACACAGTTTGACACCACTTTAACCACCCCTGGCTTGATGCGATGGAATCCTGGGAGTTGTAGTTTGACAAGGTCTTTGCAAGGCCCTAAGATCAAAGAACAAACCTAATAATACTTTATGTTGGGTTGCAAATCCCACTTTCCAAGTTTGCCTATACTTTGTGTGCATCTTTAATTATTACTAGCTGTCCCCTGCCACGCATTGCTGTGGCCCACATGGGGGTTCTGTGTGGGAAGTATGGCCCAATTCTATTGTTGGTGAGGTTCAGAATGCTCTGTGATTGTAGTTGAACTATAAATCCCAGCAACTACAACTCCCAAATGTCAAGATTCTATTTTCCCCCCCAAACTCCACCTGTGTTCACATTTGGGCATATTGAGTATTCGTGTAGAGTTTGGTCCAGATCCATCATTGTTTGAGTCCACAGTGATCTCTGGATGTTGGTGAACTACAGCTCCAAAACCAAAGGACACTGCCCACCAAACCCTTCCAGTATTTTCTGTTGGTCATGGGAGAACTGTGTGCCAAGTTTGGTTCAATTCCATCGTTGGTGGGGTTCAGAATGCTCTTTGATTGTAGGTGAACTATAAATCCCAGCAACTACAACTCCCAAATGACAAAATCAAATTTTTTGAGTGAAGGACATACATTGGCCTGGTAGGTTTCTTGTGTCCAAATTTGGTGTCAATTCCTCCAGTGGTTTTTGGCTCAATCTCCCCAAACAATAACGACGACAACAAATTACTCTTAAAGGAGTTGCAAGGAGTTCCACAGCTTGGCCTTGAAGAAATTACACATCACTTGGCTCAATCTCCCCAAACAACAGCAACAAATGACTCATAAAGGTATTGCAAGGAGTTCCACAGCTTGTCCTTGAAGAAACTACACATTACTTGCCCCCCCTCCCTCAACAACAATAACTGACTCTTAGAGGAGTAGCAGGGAGTTTCACAGCTTGTCCTTGAAGAAACTACATATCACTTGGCTCAATCTCCCCAAACAACAAAAACAGCTGACTTTTAAAGGAGTTGTTAGGAGTTCCACCGCTTGCCCTTGAAGAAACTACACATTATTTGCCCCCCCAACAACAACAACAACAACAACAACAACAACAACAACAACTGAGTCTTAGAGGAGTGGCAGGGAGTTCCATAGCTTGTCCTTGAAGAAACTACACATCAGTTGAAACATTCACACCTGGCTCCAGCAGACAAGAGTCCTTTGTCTCACCCTGGTCATTCCACAGATATATAAACCCATTTTCCTAGTGCCAACAGACCTCACTACCTCTGAGGATGCTTGCCATAGATGCAGGCGAAACGTCAGGAGAGAATGCCTCTAGAACATGGCCATATAGCCCAGAAAAAACCTACAACAACCCAGTGATTCCGGCCATGAAAGCCTTCGACAACTACACATTACTTGCCTCCCCTCCCAACAACAACAACTGACTCTTAAAGATGTTGCAAGGAGTTCCACATCTTGTCCTTGAAGAAACTACACATTACTAGCCCCCCCAACAACAACTACTGACTCTTAGAAGAGTGGCAGAGAGTTCCACAGCTTGTCCTTGAAGAAACTATACATTACTTGGCGCCCCTCCCTCAACAACAACAACTGACTCTTAGAGGAGTAGCCGGAAGTTCCACAGCTTGCCCTTGAAGAAACTACACATTACTTGCCCCCACCCGCAAGAACGACTCAAAGGTGTGGCAGGGAGTTCCACAGCTTGCCCTTGAAGAAACTACACAGTACTTGCCTCCCCTCCCAACAACAACAACTGACTCTTGGAGGAGTGGCAGGGAGTTCCACAGCTTGCCCTTGAGGAAACTACAGATTACTTGCCCTCATCCTCAACAACGACTCAAAGGAGTGGCAGGGAGTTCCACAGCTTGGCCTTGAAGAAACTACACATTACTTGCCCTCATCCTCAACAACGACTCAAAGGAGTGGCAGGGAGTTCCGCAGCTTGGCCTTGAAGAAACTACACATAACTTGGCTCAATCTCCCCAAACAACAACAAATAATGACTCTTAAAGATGTTGCAAGGAATTCCACAGCTTGCCCTCAAAGAAACTACACATTACTTGACCCCCTCCCAACAACAACAACTGACTCTTAGAGGAGTGGCAAGGAGTTCCACAGCTTGCCCTTGAAGAAACTACACATTACTTGCCTCCCCTCACAACAACAACAACTGACTCTTAGAGGAGTGTCAAGGAGTTTCACAGCTTGTCCTTGAAGAAACTATGCATTACTTGTCGTCGTCCCCAACAACAACAATTGACTCTTAGAGGAGTGGCAAGGAGTTCCACAGCTTGGCCTTGAAGAAACTGCACATTACTTTCCCCCAACAACAACTACTGACTCTTAGAGGAGTGGCAGGGAGTTCCACAGCTTGCCCTTGAAGAAACTACACATTAGGTTCTTGTGTGTTTTTTCGGGCTATAGAGCCATGTTCTAGAGGCATTTCTCCTGACGTTTCGCCNAAAAACAAAAACATTACAACGCATGTGCATAACCACATAAATACACATATACACAAATATATAAATACACACATACACACACACACACAAAACACATATACACAGACTAGGCCACAGCAACGTGTGGCAGGAGACGGCTAGTAATAGATAGATATGTAGCCCTCCATAAACTAGAATGAAACAGCCAGAAAATATTTGGCTTGCTGTCTGTAGATTGCAAATTTTCAAAACAGAGAGCTCACCTGCTGTACAGAATTCGATGATTTCACTCCACTCTGAAACCATGTAATCGCCATCAACTTGCTTTGACGCAGTCTGTACAGCCACTGTATACTCGGTTCTTGGGCTCAGAAACCAGTGTCCACGAACAGTCATTGGCAAAGGGACAGCTTTGGCCACTAGTTTTGTGGGCACATCCTAATTGGACAGGAAAAAAAAGGAGGGAGAAAGATCAGAAACATAGACAACAACAGTTACTAATATTATCACAACCACACCTACTTTGACCACTGGAGTTATAGGAGCATAGAAGTGGAGGTTGCTTCATAGGCCCTTAAGTCCAAGCTCAATAGATATCTTGAGCAATGATCAATCTATCAGGAACTGGGAAACTGATGTTTCTGTTTGATGTTTTGTCTTATGTCTGATATAACAGTCTGCATTTTTTATTTAATTTTAGTTAAGTCATAATTTGTTTTTATATGTTGGATTGCCAAATTTCATTACTATGGATGTATTGTTGTTGTGTTTGCCTTTTATGCTTGGATCTGCCCTGAATCCCTCCATTGTATGAAGACATAGTAGCACCATCTGTTGTCGCGCAAAAGCTGCAGGCATCGGTTACATGGAATAGATTCTTGTGGGTTTTTTCGGGCTATAGGACCATGTTCTAGAGGCATTTCTCCTGACGTTTCGCCTGCATCTATGGCAAGCATCCTCAGAAGTAGTGAGGTCTGTTGGAATTAGCCTGGATTCTTTTTGCACGGTCTGCCAAGGCTTTAATGGTGCTTCTTTTTTGACTTGGGTGATAGTTGGAGTTTTTATGTAGATATCTATGTGTGTGGGTTTTCTGTAGACGGTGTGACCCAATTGTTGATCTGGTTTGCGGATAACTAGGACATCTAGAAAAGGCAGTCTTCCTTCATTTTCTTTTTCCATTGTGAATTGGATTTTTGGGTGGATGCTGTTAAGATGGTCCAGGAACCTGTTGAGTTCTTCTTCTCCATGGCTCCAAATAGTGAAGGTGTCATCCACATATCTGAACCATATCGTGGGCTTTTTGGTTGCTGTCTCCAGGGCTTGTTTTTCAAAGTGTTCCATGTACAAGTTAGCTATGACCGGGCTGAGAGGGCTCCCCATAACTACTCCATCTTTCTGTTCATAGAATTCATTGTCCCACTGAAAGTAACTGGTGGTGAGGCAATGGTGAAACAGAGCCGTGACGTCTTCTGTGAACCTCTGGTTGATGAGTGCCATGGTGTCTGCTACCGGGACCATGGTAAATAGAGATACCACATCGAAGCTGATCAGTTTGTCGTTGGTATTTAGCTTGAGATTGCTGATTTTTTCTATGAAGTGGGCTGAGTCCTTGATGTAGTGTGTAGTGAGCCCAATATGGCTTTGTAACTGTGCAGCAAGAAATTTTGCTAGGTCGTATGTGGGAGATCCAATGGCACTCACGATGGGTCTGAGTGGGGTGGAGTCCTTATGGATTTTTGGGAGTCCATAAATCCTGGGTGGAAGGGCTTCCAATTTACATAGCTGTTGTCGTATGTCAAAGTTGATTGAGGAGTTCTTAATCAG